GCCCAACAATGGTTTATAGTTAATGGCCATATGACATATGTGTTATGATATCGTACTTCTTAATATAAGCATCTCCCTATCCAATAAGTTTATAAAAAATAGAAAACAAAATAAATTATTCCTATAACGCAATTGAGGTATATTCACTAAACAGTGAGTAGTAGTGAGTAGTAGTGAAATGTAAAACCAAATTGTAAATTTCAGATTAAAATACCCACGTACCCATGAAGAAATTTTCAAGGTCGGCTTTTTAGTTCTTCTGACCCAAATTTTGAATTTCGTTTTTAATTGGCAAAAATTCACAGTTCAGTTACAAACTCCTGTGGCAACAATTCCCACAGATGGATATTTACTAAATAAAGTAAATTATGTCAAAACATGGCAAGTCAAAAGGTGAAATTCCATTAACGTTGACAATTTTACTTCCATGCCCCTACCTTCCAATGCAAAGCAATTTTTGTGTCAAGCTGAGTTGGTGAGTTTTTCCGACTCATGTTTTTTTGTTTTTGTTTCGTATATGTAAAACTGTAGAAATAAGGGTTTTACTACAACTTGGTGTTTTGCAGTGCTTTTGGTTCTTGTAATGATTATCACCCGCACTAAACAGACCAATCTCTGTTAAAGGTAATTCACAGTTCTCTTATCAGTTTTCCTAAATTCTCATTTTAGTATATTTCATACTGTATGTAGCACATCACATATTGGTGTATAGAGTTTGCATTAATATGCAGGTTCTGCTATTGTATTTGTTCTGTTAAACAGGAACTCTTATGTCATCAGTTTTAGCAAAATCCTAGCATAGTGATGTCGCGAACCCGAAATTTTCGGTTCGCGAACGGCGAACGCGAACTTCCGCAAATGTTCGCGAACCGGCGAACCGCCCGAAACGCCATTGACTTCAATGGGGAGGCGAATTTTAAAACACACAGGGACTCTTTCTGGCCACAATAGGGATGGAAAAGTTGTTTCAAGGGGACTAACACCTGGACTGTGGCATGCCGGAGGGGGATCCATGGCAAAACTCCCATGGAAAATTACACAGTTGATACAGAGTCTGGTTTTAATCCATAAAGGGCAGAAATCACCTAACATTCCTAAATCACAATCAATATGGATTGACACCTGACATATGACATATTGACACCTTGACATATGGATTGACACCTGTCCTCAGAGCCCCTGATACACGACACAGAGCAGAATAGGGACTGTCCCCCTACATCGGGTCACTTGGCAGATATGGATTGACACCTTGTTACAAACTGCTATTTGTAACGGGCCCTTTAAATGGCAAATTGCCCTGTTTCCCTGGGTTGTGGAGAAGCCTCTTTGCCAGCCTCCTCCCGCATGACTATGGCCCCTGGGAGATTGTGAAAATGTATGCACTTTTATTTGGTGTGTATGGCCCTTTAAGACTGTCGGTGGGCATATTGGGGCTTATGGACTCTTTATGTGACTGGTGCTGGCCCTTTAAACACCTTTTTTGGGACATCAGGAAGATTGGGACACTGCCCCTTTAAGGCCGTGTCCCCAGACTTGTTGGGGACACGGCCCCTTTAAGACGGTGTCCCCTGTGTCCCCAGACCTGGTGCAAACCCTTTGTGCCTGCCTTGCTATTTCCCACTTGGTTCAGTAAATGGGAAATTATTTCAGCTGCAGAGACTAAGTCCCATTCGGCGATGGGACTTAGTCTTTTTTTCAGCCGTTTTTTTCAGCCTTATTTCAGTTGCAGAGACTAAGTCCCATTCGCGATGGGACTTAGTCTTTTTTTCAGCCGCTTTTTCAGCCGCTTATTATTTCAGCTGTAGAGACCAAGTCCCATTCGCATGGACTTACCTTTTTCAGCCGCTTTTTCAGCCGCTTTTTCAGATTTCAGCTGGGAGACTAAGTCCCATTCGGCTATGGGACTTAGTCTTTTTTTCAGCCGTTTTTTTCAGCCTTATTTCAGCTGCAGAGACTAAGTCCCATTCGGCGATGGGACTTAGTCTTTTTTCAGCCTTATTTCACAGAGACTAAGTCCCATTCGCATGGGACTTAGTCGTTTTTTCAGCCTGAAATAGACCGACCTCACAGCCCAAATCTATGGAACTGTTTTGGGCAGGAAAATGTGCTTGCAGTCGGTCATAAAGGGACCTCCAGCTAACTTTTTAACCCCTGGATGGATTTGGCTGATTTTTGGTTATGTTTATGTTTTAAGTGTGCTGATTCCAAATATGTAATTATGAAGATGGGATGTGTAGTTTTAAAGTTACAGGGTATGGCTAAAAACTGTATTTTTACTGCCTGTGTTTAATTATGTTAATCTCTTCCCAAACGTCATTTCGTTCAAAGTGGAGAGAATGTTAAAAAAATATATTTTTGTTCGGAGTGTGAGAAATGCTTTTCAGCCGCTTCTAATCTTAAGCATCATTTGAGGAGTCATACAGGAGAGAAACCTTATTTGTGGTGTGTTTAGTATTGTTCTGATCAGTTTAATACCTTCAGCGTCTCCTATCAGTGGACGTGTATATGGCAGCCATTTTAGGAACCGTACACCTGGGACCCGAGCAAGGTCACCTCGTTCAACAGGCGACAACATTTGTCCCTGGAAAACTATCCTGACATTCTGTACAATTTGTATGGATATGGCAGTGATTTCGTAACAGGGAGATGGAAGAAGATGCTTAATGGGTTCTCTTAATTCAAATTTGGGGCACTGCGCGGTCAAGCTAATGTGACACCAGATAGGAGTGGTGTGTTTAGTATTGTTCTGATCAGTTTAATACCTTCCACGTCTCCTATCAGTGGTCGTGTACACGGCATTGATTTTCGTAACAGGGAGATGGAAGAAGAGGCTTGGTCGGTCCTCTTACTGCAAATTTGGGGCACTGCGCGGTCAAGCTAATGTGACACCAGATAGGAGTGGTGTGTTTAGTACTATTTTTATCAGTTTAATACCTTCCGCTGTCCTATCAGTGGTCCTGATACACGGCATTGATTTTGTAACAGGGAGATGGAAGAAGAGGCTTGGTCGGTCCTCTTACTGCAAATTTGGGGCACCGCGCCGTCAAGCTAATGTGACACCAGATAGGAGTGTAGTGTTTAGTATCATTTTTATCAGTTTAATACCTGTGTGAGAAATGCTTTTCAGCCGCTTCTAATCTTAAGCATCATTTGAGGAGCCATACAGGAGAGAAACCTTATTTGTGGTGTGTATTGTTCTGATTAGTTTAATACCTTCCGCGTCTCCTATCAGTGGACGTGTATATGGCAGCCATTTTAGGAACCGTACACCTGGGACCCGAGCAAGGTCACCTCGTTCAACAGGCTACAACATTTGTCCCTGGAAAACTATCCTGGACATTCTGTACAATTTGTATGGATATGGCAGTGATTTCTGTAACAGGGAGATGGAAGAAGTATTTTGGTCGTCCTCTAACTAAATTTGGGCACTGCGCGTCGTTTAATGTGCCACCAGATAGGAGTGGTGTGTTTAGTATTGTTCTGACTGGGCTTAATACCTTCCTGCCTCCTATCAGTGGTCAGGTACACGCATTGATTTTTGTAACAGGGAGATGGAAGAAGAGGCTTGGTCGTCCTCTTCTTAATTCAAATTTGGGGCACTGCGTCAAGGTTAATGCCACCAGATAGGAGTGGTGTGTTTAGTATTGTTCTGATCAGTTTATCAATTCTCCACGCTCCTATCAGTGGTCGTGGTACACGGCATTGATTTTGTAACAGGGAGATGGAAGAAGAGGCTTGGTCGGTCCTCTTATTTCGCAAATTTGGGCACTGCGCGTCAAGCTAATGTGACACCAGATAGGAGTGGAGGTTTAGTACCATTTTTATCAGTTTAATACCTGTGTGAGAAATGCTTTTCAGCCGCTTCAATCTTAAGCATCATTTGAGGAGCCATACAGGAGAGAAACCTTATTTGTGGTGTGTTTAGTATTGTTCTGATCAGTTTAATACCTTCCGCGTCTCCTATCAGTGGACGTGTATATGGCAGCCATTTTAGGAACCGTATACCTGGGACCCGAGCAAGGTCACCTCGTTCAACAGGCGACAACATTTGTCCCTGTAAAACTATCCTGGACATTCTGTACAATTTGTATGGATATGGCAGTGATTTCTGTAACAGGGAGATGGAAGAAGATGCTTGGTCGGTCCTCTTAATTCAAATTGGGGGCACTGCGCGGTCAAGCTAATGTGCCACCAGATAGGAGTGGTGTGTTTAGTATTGTTCTGATCAGTTTAATACC